GGGGGGGGGGGGACTGCCCAGCAAGCTGCTCCAATAAGCAGGGATGACTCCACCCCCCCATCGCGGGCACCACCACCACCTGGTCTGAAACACCCAGAGCCCACCCTCTCATGACCACCCAAGGGCATCTCAGGGGGAGGGGAGAGTGTATGGTAAACACCTTCTGGCTTGACTTGGGCAAAATGCCCATTCCTTCCTCTGACCCCCCCCCAGCCAGCAGTTTCCCAAATGTTTCTTTTATTTTTCTCCCATCTTCGCCCCCCCCATCACCATGGCAGGCACAACCCCATGCTTCTGCCAGCCCCTGGCCCCCCTCGCCTGCCTGCCACCCCTAACCCAGCTTCAGCCTCGCCTGCAGGTACCTACTCAGATTAACTTGTATTGCCTTGTCCGCTTTGGCTGGGCTTGAGATTTTGCTCTTGTGAGTGGCCACCTTCTCCCTGCAGAAACGGGACGGGGAGGGGAGAGATCTCTGAGACCAATCCTGCAGGACCGGCTCCTCTGGGAGGGGGAGAGCCACCACTTGGCCAGGGAGGAACTCGGGGGGGGGCAAAGCATTCCTCTCCAGGGGGGCACCGGCAGCCCTCCAGAGGTTGCTGGACAACAACATCCTATCATCCCTCATCACTGAGCTGCCAAGCATTATACGTCAGCTCTCCTCCTTCACTGAGACCTTCTAACAAAGGATCGGAGAGAAGCAAGCCTGCAAGGAAGGGGCCCTGCTGAAATCAGTGCTTAATAGTCTCCCCAGCCTCCCAGAGAGCCAGACTTTCTCAGGCAGGTGCTCCGCACGCAGGAAGCCCTGCCAGTGAAGACAAGGAAGGTAGGAGGGCTATGGGGCCATGCCCAGAGAGTGGGGTGGGCCTCCAGAAAAAGCCTCTGAGCCTCTGCAGCTGCCCTGGCTGTTCCAGCCTTAACAGCTTGAAGGGCATCCCAGGTCCCGGTCAAAGAGGGCAGAGAGATGGCACTCACACTAGGCTGGAGTCAGGAGGCTTCCCCTTCCGGAGTGGCTTTTCCGGGGTCCCGGAAGATGAGGAGTCTTGGCTGGAGACGGAGGAAGTCCGGATGCCTCGTTTCTTCCACAGCTGGAGAAGGAAAGAGAGAGAAGCAGGTCAGAAGCAGGATCGCTGGTGTGGGAGCCAATGATAGGACAGGAGGGCGGAACCAAGAGAAGAGAGAGAAGCAGGTCAGAAGCAGGATCGCTCGGTCTCATTTCTGCAGCTTCTGGTCCTGGAGCCCTTCAGCAGAGGCCACAAACGGCAGCCACTGGCGGATGCCCGCCGAGAATCCTCCCCTTGCTCCAGCCGGCGTCCTCTTCTGGACTCCGCTGAGAGCTGCAGCCGCACTCCTAGGCTTCCCACCCTCCTGCTCCTCCTCAATTCAAGCGGGTGGGAGTGACTCGGGTGGTGGTGGGAGAAGGCAGACTCTCCAAGCCCAGGAAGGCGGCTGGCCGAGAGCACCAAAGCCGCCCCACCCTGAGCGAGCCCTCAGATCAGACAGAATGCAAAGGGTACTCCTTCCAAGAAGCTTCGTGGTTAACGCTCCTGCCGCCCTGGCCCAGCCCGCCAGTAAAGAAAAGACCCCTGTGATGGACAGTCCAAATGACACCTGTCCATCATGTTAGAACCCTGGTGTGGGAGCCAATGATAGGACAGGAGGGCGGAACCAAGAGAAGAAAAAAGAAGGACAGTTGGAATCAGTTAGGGTAGACAGTTATAAAAAGTCAATTAGAGTTGGGGAAAAAAAGGAGTGAGGTTTGCTGGGAAAGATAGATAGATAGTCAGAGATAGAGAGAGAATTATTACTAATAAATAGACACGGGTTGAACTGAAAAGTAAACAAGAGGTGATCTAATGTGGAACATAAAATATGATCTAATAAAGCTGAACAAAGACAACCTGTGACTCCGAGTTACTCTTTCATGCCCTTTAATAAAACTAATTCTGTTAATGGCAGCAAGTGTGAAAGTAAAGTCCTTTACTACCTTCGGAAGCAGGAACCCTCCCCACATCCTGACCCCCCAAAGCGGAAAGCGGGGACGGGGGGGGAGGCGCTACCTGCTCAATCCCGCCGGAGGAGCTGTACGAGCTGTAGATGCAGTTGTTGCGGAAGGGGCGCTTGGGCTCGCCATCCGCTGAGCTGGTGGAGGCGGGGCAGGCTTTCTTGGAGGTGGCCTCTTCTGAGCTGGGAGAAAGCTGCGGGCCCTGCTTCGGCATGTCAGGCCTGGGGAAGCAGCAGAGGTGAGCCCAGACGGGCCTCAATGAGGCTCTGAGCCTAGCTGGCCGGGGCAGGCAGCCTGCAAAAATCCCCCAGGCCAAAATCGCCTGGAAGGAGATTCAGGGACAGAAGCTCCAAACGCTTGGATGCTTGGCTGCATGCGTGTATGTGTGAATGGACCATCTCCAACTGGAACAGCAGCCTCACTCCAAAGGAGGGCGCGAAAGGAAAACCACCCCACCTGAGTCCCACAGAGGCCCTGGGGAACCACCCCACCTCCCGACGTGCAAGCAGGGGGGCCGCCCGTTGGTGCCCTGTGGAGGAAATGCCCCACCCGCTTACTTACTGGGGCTCAAGGGGCGCTGGCACTTCGTTGGCCACTAAAGGCTCAGAGGCTGGCTGTCCATTCTCGGTGCTCCCCCGGCGTCTGCAGACATAAGGGGACAAGAAGGGACATCCCCACGTAAGCCAGGACACCCGTTGTCCTCTGTCCCACCCTAGCCCTGAGTCCACACTGGGGCTGCCCCTGCTTGGCTCCTCCACATCAAGGGCGTGGGGGGAGACATAACTCCTCCTGCTCTTACATCCCCAGGGAGCCCTGCTAAGGAGGATCCCTCTCCCGGAGGTTTAGCGTACACTCCATGTTTCTGACCGGGCGCAGGTGAGGCGAGACTAGCTGCTATGGGGGTCCCGGCTGTGCTGTCCCTCTACCTGGGCCATAGGTCTCCCTCCAAACCAATTGCCTGCCCTTACATGCGCTTGTTTTCCTGGATGGTCGGAGAGGGTGGGGTTCCTCCTTCTTTTGCCCTCTTTTTGTTGGCCATGAGTTCCTGGAGAGCCTTCACCACGGTCTCTCGAGCACAGGGATCTGGGTCCGGAGGAGGAGGAGGAGGAGGAGGAGGAGAAGACACAGGGGCCGGAGGTTCCCGAGGAGACGCCGGGAGAGGAAGTGCCGGAGAAGTCAGCTGCGCCACCCTGCCCAAAACACCAGCAGCAGTGACCAAGAGGGCTTCTTCCCACCCCCAAAAGGGAAGAAAAAAAAACACACACCAGTACCCCAAGACTCAAGTCACCTCCACCCAAGATCATCTGTTCGCCACTGTGGTCCGAACGATCACAGCCCTGTGAGGCCCAGTGAACAAAGCAGAGAGAGTGACCTTCTCCCCTCCCCCCCCAACGCTCCCTTGTGACCCTTTCGAAACCGAGGGCAACCTCCCAACGAGGATTAAGAAGCCACTCCAGGGCGTGAGCCACGGAAGTCAAGAGAAGAAGTGGACACTGCGAGCCCCACAAACCACACTCTGCCACCACGGCCAGGGCGCGCCAAGCCACAGCAGGGAGGTTTCGGAAGGCCCGCAGGGATGGCCCCGCGAGGGATCCCGGCGAGAGACTCACAGAGGGGAGCAGTGGATCTTCCTGTCGGCTGGAGGAATCCATACGGTCGAAGGGCTCCGGAAGTCGCTCCGGAGGGTGACCGTGTTCACACGTCTGATCAGAGGGTAGTTTTCTACCCGAGCAAAGTTGACCTGTTGCATGGGGTTCCACTTCTGTGGGGTGTATGTGTAAAGGGCCGAAGGCCGGAAAGCGCTTGAGTTTTGAGGCTCAAACAGTTGTTTTATCCTGGAAAGGGGCAGAAAGGGGGCTGTCAGGCGGGACCGCAGGGACGCCACTCCTGAAAAGGAGATCTCCCGTGAAGAATAAAAAGGAAGCCCCTTCCTATGGCTTCTATCCCCCACTGCCAGCACAAACCTTTATTTACCTTTATTTACATACACTATACACTTTCATCACGCTAAAGACATGGAAAAAGCAACTGAATGTGGACGCCAGGCAGCAACCCATACGAAACCCAAATGATGGCTGATGCTGCAAGGACCCAAAACAGCCCAGACTGCGAGCGACTTCTCCGCAGCTTGGGGAGCCTCTCCGGGGGGCGGGGGGGAATCTGACTGAAATGGGACATCTTCTGTCCCCAGCTAACACGGCAGGAGGAAGCCAGACAAGAGAGGTCAACCACCCCAAGCTTCAGGGCAGCAGCCCCCTTCCACCGCTACAGAGGCCGGGCCATTGGGAGGATGCCCAGGGCGAGGGTGGCCGCCCTCCGACTCCACGGGAAGCCTGGATTTGCCCCTGCCGGGGCGCAGTCCTCCATGCATGAGCAGGTCTGGAGGCAAAAGGGGAATTAAGTGGTGCCTGCAAACAGGTGCATGCCTGGGAACAGCTTTCCCCCTCTGCCCAAGCAGGATCCAGTCCCTCTTCCTCTTGATAGCTCTCCAGCTCATTGGTCAGCTGTGCTCCTGGGCATATACAGAGCACCTGCCCTCCCTCTCGCCCAGCATTTCTTCCTTCCTCCCCTTCTAGTAATGGGGGGGGGAAAGGGATGAGGGAGACCTGGGACCCCTTGGCTTTATGAAGGGAAGCACCTGTGCCCCCCCCCAGCGTGCACAAGAGCGCCTTCCCTCCTCTCTGCATTTCTTTTGACAGGGGGCGGGACGGGACTCGGAGCCTGCCCTCTCTCCCCTCCTCCCGAGTAGGCACAGAGCGCCGGCTCTTACCAGTCGGCGTACTGGTTTCTGGGTGGGCTCCCGAGGGGGTAGCCATAAGAAACTCGGTCCGAATAGAGCCGGGGAGGCGAAGTCACCGGCTGCGGCGGNCCTCTCCTCTCAGCGCCCAGCCGGCGGCCGCCGCCAGGGCCATCAAGAAGGCCAGGGACACGGGCCCGGGCCAGATCAGCAGCGCCAACGGGAGGGACAGCAACGCCGGGAAGAGCCACCGCCGCGGATTCCGCCGGCGCGGCGGCACCGACACCACCACCCGCGCCCCCCGCGACCACTGCTGCAGCAGCTGCTGTCGCTGCAGCCTCTCAGCGCCCAGCCGGCGGCCGCCGCCAGGGCCATCAAGAAGGCCAGGGACACGGGCCCGGGCCAGATCAGCAGCGCCAACGGGAGGGACAGCAACGCCGGGAAGAGCCACCGCCGCGGATTCCGCCGGCGCGGCGGCACCGACACCACCACCCGCGCCCCCCGCGACCACTGCTGCAGCAGCTGCTGTCGCTGCAGCTGCTCTTGCTCTTGCTGCAGGAGCAGGCGCTTCAGCTGCCGCTGCTCTTCCTGCTCCACTTCCCAGGCGGAGGGCTTCCGCCACCACCCCCTCGCTCCGCCCCAAAAGGACATCGCGACGGAGACGGCGGCGGCGGCGAAGGAGGAGCTAACAGAAACGCCTCCCGCGCCGTTGAATGCCGCCGAGCGGTTGCCAGAGCGACCAACCGCCGGCCGTTGCNACCAGACTAGAAGAAGGCCTGTGGGCGTGACTAGAGGCAACAAAGAGGCGGAGCCAGGCTCCGCAGCTCTTCCTCTCGCCGCGGTCAGGAAAGCAATGAAGCCTCTGGGCGCGGCCTGAGTGGAGATTCCCCCCCTGTCCCCGCCCCCCGTTTATGACGTAACAAAGGGGAAGGCGCGTAGCCTCAAAATGGCCTCTCGCTGCCCCGCCCGCCTGCCGCCCCGAGGCATTCAGCTGCCCGAGGCGCGGAGGCCCAAGCCGGGCTGTCCCGAAGTGTTTCGGCT